ACCTTTGAGTTGGATTTCTTCACCTTCTTCTATACCTATTATTCTTAAGTTTGGTCTTTTCACAGTATCCCATATTTCCTGGATATTTTGTGTTAGGGATTTGTTGGACTTAAGATTTTCTTTGGTTGATGAATCTGTTTCCACTAGTTTGTCTTCAACTCCTGAGATTCTCTCTTCCATCTCTTGTATTCTGTTGGTTATGCTTACATCTGTAACTCCTGATCGTTTACCCAGCTTTTCTAATTCCAGCATTGCCTCAGATTGTGCTTTCTTTATTGTCTCTATTTCAGTTTTTAGGTCTGGAACTGTTTCTTGTAATTTTTGGTTTGTTTTGTCTTCAATTTCTTTATGTGATTTTCTCATGTCCTCTTTGAGTTCCTCTATCATTTTCCTGAAGATGTTTTTTAAGGTCATTCTCTTCTGGTTTATCTGCATCGTGATGTTGAGGTCTTACTGGTGTGTGGTTCCTAGTCTCCGGTGGTGTCATATTGGGTTTTCTGTTGTTGGATGTGCTTTTACCTTGCCCTCTTCTCATCCTTTCTTCTGGTGGGTGTTGCAAGTGTTTCTTGTTCTCCTGATGAGTGTGGGACCACGTTTCCCTTCTGGTAGATGCAAACAGATCCAGTACTCTGATGTCGGTTCTCTTCTCGTGGATGTAGGTGTCACTGTTACCCGGGTGTTGGCAATGTCCAGGTGTGCCTGGTCCCGCAGTTGGAAGCAGAGCTGTCACCGGGCCTCGGGGTGTTGGATCCAGCTACGGGACTCCGTATGAACACTTGTGTCAGATGACTCTGAGCAGCGATGACGAACCGGAACTGGAAACAGTTCCTGGCCTACCGGGGCCAGCAGATGTAGGCCGGGCTGCCTCTGGGGGCTGCCTCTGGGTGTTTGGTGTTAGTAACCTGCCACTGCCGAACTGGGTCTGTCAGGCAGGTCCCTTGCGTCAGATGATTCTGAGCAGCAATGACGTAACCGGAACTGGAAACAGTTCCTGGGCCGGCAGATGTAGGCAGGGCTGCCTTTGGGTGTTCAGTGTTCGTAACCCGCCACCGCCGATCTGGGTCTGGCAGGCAGGTTGCTTGCCTCAGATGACTCTCCAAAGAGAGTTTCTTGTTCAGGCCACATTTAGTAACAGGTAACAGCCCTGTTTCCTGATGTCTATCTGCTAGTCTCCATGTGAAGACAGTGAATGAATTCATCTCTTCCTTTCTTAGCTTCTTTCATCTTGGTAGGGTTTCTATTGGATGTATATATTCTATAAACTGAAAGCAGTGATTGCAAGTTTTGTGTTTTAGAGACATCATTGTCTGAAGCAGGACACGGTAAGGAGTTAAGGGGTATTCCATACTGTTCCATACTTGCCTCCCACCAGCTCTACCTTGTGTCTTGCTTTTCTGGTCTTTGTTTGTCTTTGTGCCACCTGGTGTTAAAGAGTTTAATCCTGCCCTAGAATCAGTCAGTCTGAATCTTTGTGTGTCTTGGTGTCCATCCATCCTTCTCCATCTCCTCCTCTCACTCTCATTCTAGAGATTGAACCCATAAGCTTACTCATACTAGGAAAATTCTCTACGGCAGAACTATAGCTCAATGCTTCTTTTGCTTTTTATTTTGAAGCCATATGTCAGTTTGTCTGCTAGACAAGATTGGAATTTACTTCATAGCCAGGGCATACCTTTCACTTATGAGCTTTTGCCACAGCCTCCTGGTTAGCTGACATTATAAGCCTGAGACGCCAGGCTCAACTTAATTATAATATTTCCCTTGTACAATTTTGGGACAAACAGGATCCTCAAGTACTTTGTCCCTTTGAAACTCTGTCAGAACTCTGTAGTTTGAGGTCCCTGACTGTAAGGCAAATGGCAGTGAAGAAGTCACAGAGAGAGAGAGGAAACCCAGTGAGGCCTATGACTGGCTTCTGGAAGGGTGAGGAAAGAAGGAACTGTAGAGAAGCTAGCCATAGTTAAAAGCACATGTAAACTACATCCTGGTCATTCCTATGGTGATCCCATGTGGCTTCAAGGTTTCCATGGACAGTTACAAGACCAGTCTCCAAAAGCTGCAACGCTTTTAAGGGGTTGGCCAGAGACTTTGCTTTTCCCTGACTCAACAGGACTTTCTGTCTCCCTCCCTCTCAACAGCAATCACTGTTGGAGAAACAGAGAATTCTAACCCAGCAGCATGAGGACGCCAAAGAGCTTAAAGAGAACCTAGACCGTCGTGAGCGCATTGTGTTTGACATCCTGGCCACCTACCTCAGCGAGGAGAACCTGGCTGACTATGAGCACTTTGTGAAGATGAAGTCAGCCCTCATTATTGAGCAGCGAGAGCTGGAAGATAAAATCCACCTGGGTGAAGAGCAGCTCAAGTGCTTGTTCGACAGCCTACAGCCTGAGAGAAGCAAATGAGAGGTCCATCACTGCAGAAGTTGGACACTGAGCCTTGGAGATTAATGCCTGGGAATACAAGAGTGAACCCAAGCCTATTTGCCCATCTCTGGAGAGACACACTCTGGATCCACAAGGGTAGTAAATAAGCAATAATGTCCTGTTAGTATGTGATGATTTAGTTATGTTTTTCATTTCTGTTGGTTTGCTGAGCAGTTTTGTATTACATGTAACTTCACAGAATTCCAGGCTTTGCTGGTCAGCAGGGTCCCCTAGGATGTTCAATGGCTGAGCCCACAATATATGCACACACTCCTTTGCAGTGGTGGCACCATTGTTCCTCCCTTACGTAGATGCCAAATACATCCCTATGGTGCATGAGAGGAAAGACCCTTGTGATTTAGCCAGGCATGGGCTGCTGTGTGTTCTGTACATGTTCATTCAATAATGCAAGCATTCATTAGGCTATCATCATGACTTTCTCTGACCCAGTAAAAACCAGTGAAGATGATAATTTATTGATGTGTGGGAAACATCAAGTTTCCTAGTGGTAAAAATCCAACTAAGAAATGAACAGCCTACATATTGCATACATTCATTCCTAGAGTAAAATCATCATATAACTTGTGTGCATGCTTTGAAACACCCCAAACAAACAGATAGCTAGTGTCCTTCTTGTCACATCTTAAATAATTTGTAAGCAAGTAAAATTACTTGGTTAGAAGTGTGTCTACTAATAATGTTATTGCTCATTCTTTTTTTCCTGAGATCAATGGAATATGTGAAGCTTCCTTCCCCCAAAACACTAAGTTGTTGTGTATGTGATCCTTAATGATAATCGGTGGCTTGTCTCTTGTTGCTTCTCTGCCTGTTACCATGGGCCACATGCCATGTACCTTAAGATGTAAGATTCCATCTTCTGGTTTGTCAGAGGTCCTGGGGAGTGACTATTGCTTACATTTGAAACAGAGTTTCAAGGTTCCTTGTCCTTCCAGTAGAAATGGAAAAACAACAAATAGCTTGTTGCTCATTATAACAACACTGTCATTCTATTGGTTTCCAGATAACAGAATAGAGATTGGGAAACAATATTTGTAAATGATGTGTCTGATTTGTTATTCATTTTGTTTTTAATATTGTTTGCTTGTTTTAGAAGTGTCTCATGTAACTCGGATTGGCTTCCTTCTCCCTATGTAGTCCAGATGGCCTTGAATTCCTGATCCTCCTGCCTCCACTTTCTGAGTTCTAGGTTTACCACCAAACCCCACTTCCATGGCTTCGTATATCTGATAAAAGATTTGTATAAAGAATTCCCAAAACCCAACAATAGAAAACAAACTGAAAAATGTAGGCAAAAGAGTTGACTAGACACCTCACCAAAGAAGATGTATGTATGGCAGATAAACACATGAAAGATGTTCAACCACCAGTGGCATGTATAATTTACTCAATGTTAAATGTGTATAGATTTGGTGTAGTTCAAACAATGTTTATGTAACTCAATGCATGGTGAAAGTTGAGCAAGTCCCTTTAGTGATTAGATGTTTAGGCATCACTAGTCTTTGTTCTACCAAGGGATTATTGAATCCTTCTTTTCCCCTGAGATTGCAGCAGATGCAAAATTTCCCTCTCTCAGCAGTAACCACACCCTTTCCAGAATACACATGCACACTTAAATCCATGTGTATATGCATGTGCCCACACTCTCACATGCAGTTGTCTTAAAGGACCAGATTCTGTGCTTCCAGAGCCACAGGAATAGAGGGTGACACGAGATGCTCTGGTGAAGATGATAGTGCCCTCTGTACAGCTGAGTCAAAATGGGCAAGCTTCTCTACTGCAGACCACAGATGGCCTTGTTGTCAGCCTATCACTATCAGTTGGAAGAAAATCTTTACAAAAGTGTTGACTCCTATCAAACAGAGCTACTTCTACCTTTGGAAGTCCCTGATCCGCCAGTGCAGCCTCCTCCTTCTTCCACTTGGCCATCCCTTGCTGTGATCATGGGTCATGTCAGGAAATGTGATGCTGGCTGTCCACAAACTTTTTAAGGAATTGTAGACTGTCTTGTTTTCAATTTTCACCAAGTTATTTACCTGTGGTTCTTTATCCCCAAATACAGTGTTGTGAACATTTTAATGATATGTGTGTAAAATGTGAATAATGGAATTGTGTTTGTCTGTAACATGCCTTTTCGTGTTTTTCCAGGGTTGTCTGTTATGGAGAACAATATGTAGTGCTCTAGCATGCTTGTACTGAATCACATAACAATTATGACCTTCCTGTCCATTCCCTGCTTGCCTGTTCCATGTCTGATTAGCAGGGACCCAAGAATTCCAGAGAGTCCATGTACATGTCTGTGAATAGTGATACTGTTGCATAAGAAACAACCTGGTGCTAAAGATTGGTCCTTGGCATGCATAGGCTTGGGCATAGCTATGGAACTCTCTGTATCCACACTGACCTTGCTTGTGGTCAGTTCTTGTGGCTTTACCCTGAACTCTGCCCTATCAAAAATGCACATCTGTGCCTGATGCTTACCACTTACCAACATATCCTCTTGCTTGACTTTAACAAAATAAATAGTGTCTCTTAAAATGGAAGAAAAATGTCTTTATTTCCTACATTATAGCTTTGTACACAAATGAAAATACCAGTGATGGGCAAGTAGCCCCTGGGAAAAGGGTATGACCATGGGGCCCTGAGTTCAAATGCCATCAGTATCCTCCACAAAAAAATTAATGTGTGGGAATGTGTATGGGTTCTTGGTTGTTAAAAACAAACTGAATTGAACAACATATATGTTGAGTGTACTGAATCAAAGATTAATATCCTAAGTGCATTAACACACCCACAACACTTTTTTCTAATTCATGACATTGTCCTTTATACTGCCACTTTCTAAGCAGCTTTTCTGATCCATCTGGTCCCCTTGTGGCCATGGACTATCCATTCTACCAATCTCTTTTAATCTGCCTTAACTCTCATGCCTTTCTCTCTCACCCTACTAGGCACATGTAGCTAGAAACATGGGTTCTTTGGGAGGTTATAGGAGGAGGAGTAGATCTGGGATAAATACGTTTTGCTATTGAATCTGATGTTTGCTGAGCATAAAGTGCCTTGTCTGATGGAAGCTTTTGCCTGAGCATAGTGTTGCCCCCTACCTGGCTCATGTTAGGTCCTCAGAAGCAGCAGGGAAATCAAAGCATTGTTGTTGGAAATGCATCCTGATAGCTCTTTGCCCATAGGTAGAGGTGGGATGGACACCAGTTCAAGTCTAGTCTTGACTACACAATGAGTATGAGGCCACAGTGGCCTACCTGAGTCCTTGTCCCAGATGACATAGCAGCAGAGATGGTACACCTTGTCAAGCCTGGTTATCTATCTTGCCTGATACCCTGGGCAACAAAGGGTATCGACTTCCATGTGTATGCCAGCTGAGGATGCATCTAGCCCACTTTCATTACTTAAATTTCTGTCTTCAATCACAATCACAAGTTTAATTATGTTAGTCACTTAGCTGCTTAAAGTATCTGTCCTGGTGGTTTTGGTGTTTTGGTTTGTGTGTGTGTGTGTGTGTGTGTGTGTGTGTGTGTGTGTGTGTGTTTTGTTTTGGTCAACTTGATACAACCTAGAGTTATCTGGGAAGAAGAATCTCAGTTGAGCCTCCATCAGATGACCTGTAGGCAAGTCTACAGGCCAGTGTCCTGTTTAATAATGTGGGAGGGTTCAGCCCACTGTAGGGTGATGCCACCCTTGGGCAGGTGATCCTGCATTCTATAAGAAAGCAGTCTGAGCAAGCCATGGGAAGCAAGCCAGTAAGCAGCACACTTGCTTCAGCTCCTGCCCTGACTTCCTGATGATGAACTACAGTGTAAGTGCGAATAAACATTTTACCAACTTGCTTTTGCTCATGATGTTTTTCCAAAACTATAGAAACCCTAACTTAGAGACCTTCCTTTCAAAAATATTTTTTTGTCCATGCTTTATGGTAAATGCTTGTAATCGTAGCCAGTCTGCAGGCTGAGAAGGATTGTAAGGTTAAGGCCTCTCTGAGATAGTTAAGGAGCCTAGCTTCAATTTCCAAAACTACACAAAAATAATTTGTTCAGGATTAATCAGCCAAAGAGGATGGCTATAAATATGTTCCTCCCCAGATTGCTCAAGAATTGGAAGGGATTTCTACTATCAGCCTGCAAGAGCCCCTCACCCTGCTTGTCCAGGGTAATTCCAATAGGAACACCACAACCCTCAATATTCTCCCATTTCAGCTTTCATTATTTTGCATCCGAATCCACCATTCACCTTCATCCTGGTGCAGTCTGACCTTGAAGTTCAAAGCAGGTCCTAGGCATGCTTTGGCATCCTATCTTGTTTCTAACACTTATACACTTGGGAGAAATATGAAACAACTTCTGCCTCCTTTTGGCTTCCTCTGTTCATCTTCTCCCCTGTAGCATGTGTTTGTTGTGACTCACAGGACCTATCTCATCATTTCTCTTGTCCTGGAACCTGAAAGTGTCTGTGTCCTTCCAGAGTGCAAGTTCCTTAATTTAATGTAAATGCACTGTTCCTGTGTGCAGCTTTGCACTTTATTTTAATGTTATTTTATGTGTATGTGTAGGGTTTACCCTGCACGTATGTCTCTGTACCACATACAAGCCTGCTACCCACAGAGACCAGAAGAGGATTTTGGTTGCTCTGGAACTGGAGTTACAGACAGCTGTGAGCTACCCTGTGGGTGTTGGGAATTGAACATTGATCTTATAGAACAGCAGCTCTTAACGCTGTGTCACCTCTCTAGTGCCTTGGCATTTATTTTCTTCATTTAAGGTACCAGCTACACTGAATGATGCCTTACACATTGCCTTCATTTAACTTATCTCTGTAAAGAAGTGTAGTATCAAGTCACACCGTAGTGCTCTGAAAATTATCATATTGGCATATATAGGGAGCAGGACACCATTCAATTCATAATGCTGAGATACAAGGCCTCGTAAGAAACACAGCAGGAAGGATGGTTATGTGATAGGAAGGGGTTCATATAACCTACTCTGGGGTGTCTATACTTCTCAATGGAGCAAAGAGAAGCAGCACCCAGACACCTTCAATACAAGAGGAGTTCTTTGCTTATAATGAGAAGCAACATAAAGTTTCAGTGTTCTAAGCTGAAGAATGATGGCCTTGCCACCACCTGGAGCTAGAAGCAAATTAATTAACAAGCAGGTGCTGATCACCGCATTTGTTTGCGTAGATAGGCTGAAGTGCTACATTAGAGCTCTTCAGAAGGCACAGAAATTTAGGGGAAGAGTTTTCGCCTGCACAATGGATTTTTAAACTTTTGTTACATTTGTGTGTGTGTAGGTGCACATGTCACAGCACATGTGTCAGAGGACAACTTGTGGTAACTGGTTCTCCTTCTACCATGTGGATCCTGGGTATAAACTTAGGTTGCCAGGGTTCATGACAGGTGCCCTTGCCCACAGAGACATCTAATGAACCCTGTATGTGCTTTTTATTTTGAAAATTATTTATTTTTGAGATCATAATATAATCAATTACATAATTACCCTCTACTTTCTCTTCCCTCTAAACCCTCCCATTCTTGCTCTCTTTCAAATTCGTGGTCTCTTTTTTTTTTTCATTAGTTGTTGTTATATGCACATATATGAATGTATATACATATATTTACTATTTATAAACACCCGCTTTTCAGTCTGAAT